AATAATAATTTTTATATAAATCTCCATACATGCATGTACACAGATGCTTACGCAACGTCTTATTTAAAATGGGTCGTAAAAAGTGAGAATAAGCGAAACCGTTTGAAGATATCGTAACATTTAGAGAATAATTGTTAATTGTATGTGCAAAGAATCTTTAACCGAATTGACAAATTAACTAACCTAACCAAGGTTAGAAAACTTCGAATTAATAAATATCAATATCTGAACATTTTTGCAAACATCTGTTCTTTCGACCCTTCTGCAGGTAAGTATGTACATTTTTTTATAAAATTAAAAATCATTTTTTTCATCATAAAGGGTTATTATCGTCTTTTACTAAAAGAGAAGTTATTCATTTCAAAACGATAAGTGTGACGATTAACATTCTTTTTCCTCAAGATATTTTCCCTTAAAACAGTGATATCACCATATGTACTAAGTAAAGAATAAATTTAACCTGGCATGAAATGATCACCTTCAAATGACCTTGAGTAAAGAACTATAACCTTTTAGGGGAGAAAATTTGTATATTTTCACGTTATGTTTTACTATTCCCTTGATATTTATTGATTATTATTACAAAAACGATGTTTATATAATGATACCTTGAAATATCAAAAATCAACGTAATAATGAAAAAATATAATCAAATTTTTAAAATGAAAATTCATAATTCAAACATGATTCTAAGGATGAAATCTATCAAATTCATTTCAAAAATAGACGTTCTTCTACACCCGTTAAATTATACAGAGTTATCCATTACAAAAAAGAATTTTTCTTTATTTAAATTTTGGCCAATTTCCCATCTGAAACAGTTCATCCGCTTTTTAAAACTTTTGTACGAATAATCGAGACAGTAACGATATGTCAGTGGGTATCAGTACACTGGTGCTAGCTTCAAGGAGCAAAAAATTCGAACCGTTAACCAATGGAGGGAGATTTCTAAGTGGGGAGTTGGTGTGGTCTCGGTTAGATGGTGTGGTTTTGTTTTACGAAGAGTCTTGTTCAAACGCTGCACCACGACCTCGTGGTCATATCCGTCTTGATACACCTGCTATCGAGAAACCATCCTTCTCTTCCTGTAACAAGTGACTCTAAAAATCATTCTTCAGAATTTAAAATCGTTTAGAATGGTATTACCATTGGGTAGAATTTGTGACTGTTGCTTACGGTGAATAGTCCAACTCGCCTGATAACGGGATATTACAGGTCGGAAGAATAGAAAAGAAGAGGTTTCTAATGCGTTCCAGGTAAGCATATTAACCGACGGATGTAATTACCGTGCAACCAAACACAGGGTGATTTTTTGCGAAAAAATGAATTGCAATTACGAAATAAAGTTTTCGTATACTGTGCTGTGTTTGTAGAGAATCGAATGCGAAAATTCATCGAGTACGCCTACGACTACTATCTTTTTACTATCGATTCATTCTTTTACCACCGATTTACGTATCGATACATTCTTCGATTCGACGAGTAAAATTCTATTCTAGTTTTCCATAAAGAATCACCCTTTGTATCATAGTTGATGCAACATCCTGTATATTAATAGAAATAGGAATTTCAAAGTTTTGAAAAACAGGTATAACTACAGATACTAACGGCTGTTTGGAAAAGGATAATCGACGGTATCGGTTTAGACCTGTGTTTCAAGTGTGTAAAGATATTGCAGGGTGAAGCAAATCGTGTTGAATGCAAGTATGTATGTACATACAAGTGCAATTGGTTCTTTGCGCATCGTGTTGAAGCAGAGTGCGCTGGAATAGAAGTTCGTTGGGTTTTGAGTGAAATGTGATGCTTAAAGTGACTTGAGATTCTAGAAGCAACAGGTGGCATGTTGTGAAATTTAATCCACTGCAATTAGTAGGAATTTGAAGAAAGTAGGTTGTATTAAATATAATTTGAAAATGTTTGTTTCAAAAATTATCTAATACAACTAAACTGTATTTTTGACAATAATATAAAACATACGATTTGTTTACAATTTTATATTTACAACTATTTTAGTCCTTTTTTCATTCTGTGTTAGTGTATTTCATGGTATATCTAAAATTGTGTAACTCAAGAATTCGAAATCTCCGCAATTTCACCGTAATTACATTAAATTGTTGAAACTTTGATGTGGCGTGATTAGAAAAAGGGTAAGCTGAAAGTCACGAGACATGAGTGAAAGTAGATCTCCCTTCCAATGTTCGCTGAAGAGACGGGCAAAGAAGTGTATTATACTTATTTCGATACGCAAGGAAAATAACGTTGATTAAATATATGTAATACTTTTTGATTTCAGGATTTTCAAAATAAAGACTTTTTCGTTTATAAAAAGACTATGATTAATTTTTTTCATACAATGTAATTATTTTCAAATTCTTCGTTGCCGTGTTAACGATATGGAATGATTATTAATAGGTTATTAATTGTGTGCTTGTTTCAATAGAATGAATCGACAATTGCAATTCACCTTAATACGTCGACTGTCACGAACTCAGGATGCCCTTCGAAGATCTCTGTGTTCAGGTAATTGAAAGTAGAATGACGAATGATTCTTTTCTTATATTCATTAAAATATCATTTTCATCTCATCTTTATTAAGAAGCGTTCAATGCAGTATACACATATACATACCACATAGGGTATATCATTATAATTATCTCACAGAATTATTTTCAAGCTCATCAGTTTTTGAAACATTTTTTAAAATAATAATTATTCGAAAAGAAAGTTAACTGAAGTTGCTTGCAATTCGAAGAACATTATATTTTCCTTACTTACTTTCCTTGTTAGACGGATGAAATCATGTCTCCTTTTAGGTTCGTAATTTATTCCGAAAAGTATTCAAGGTTGTTCAAAGGTTATGTTCAAGGTCATTTGAAAATATCTGCCAAAGATTGCCCAATTGAAAAATTCGATATTTTCTTTCGATAATAATATAACATAGAACGATACAATTGTTTAAAATATTTTTCTAATAATTGTTAAACATAGTAACATTAACAAAAATTGCACAGTATTCTCTAAAATTTTTATTATCTCCGTATGGTATACGCACAAGTTATTCAATGCATGTGAAACTTCAAATAGCGCATAATTGCGTTATCGCTTCGATCAGCCATGATTGTGAATTCGCGCTGCATCCGTATTCCAATGCGCACTCTGTGAACAGGTGCAGTGACCTCACCGAGGGATTGCGCGGTCGATCATGATGTTGTCTCGAACGAAGTGAGGCCTTACGAGGAAATTCCAGGACCAAAACCCGTTCCAATTTTAGGGAACACATGGCGTCTGTTCCCTGTTATCGGTCAATACCAAATATCGGACGTTGGGAAATTGTCACAGATATTCTACGACGAGTACGGGAAGATTGTTCGTTTGACTGGTTTAATAGGTCGACCGGATCTGTTGTTCGTGTACGACGCTGACGAGATAGAAAAAATCTACAGACAAGAAGGACCGACGCCTTTCAGGCCGTCGATGCCGTGTCTGGTGCATTACAAGGGCGTAGTAAGGCAAAATTTCTTTGGCAGTCTACCTGGCGTCGTTGGAGTGTACGTATACCTATTGTGTATAATAATTAGGTGGGGTTGGGGCGATGGAAACATATTCTTTGGTTTCGATGCATGACGCGTTTATCGACAGAGAGAAAAGATCGAAATTGCTTTTATGTTTCGATCTTTTTAAGTAAAAGTGAAAAATTAAAATGGAAATTTTTATATTTTTTAATAGCAAAAAATAATTTTCATTCTGCTATT